CCATCCTCACAGCCAGGAATTCCTTCCCAATATCCCATCTATCCCTGCCCTCTGGCAGTGGGAAGCCATTCCCTGTGTCCTGTCCCTCCAGCCCTTGTCCCCAGTCTCTCTCCATCTTTCCTGGAGCCCCTTCAGGCCCTGGAAGGGGCTCTAAGTGCTCCCCTTCTCCAGACTGAACTGATCCCCACCCTCTCAGTCATGTCAGGCTTAAACCTGCCCCGGGCTGTATTTGTGCCTTCGAGTGTCACCCCGGCAAACGCAGACCAGGAGAGAGGAGGGAGGTAAATCCCAATAAAGAGCCCCAATAAAGCCCGTGGGTGGCACTGCGGCACTCCTGGTGGGACGGCTAAGCGGGTTCCCTAAAGAACCTTACTCCAATCCTGTTTTTACCTCATCGCTTCGCTTCCAGTCTGGAGCAAGAGCAGCATCTAGTGCTCGAATCCTGCCCTGCACGCTTCCCGCTGTTTCCCATCCACGCCAGGCTTCCTATTTCCATGGCAACGACCACCTGTTTTCCATGCGGGAAACAACGACCCGAACCGGTACCGGCTCCGCGAAGCTCTTACAAAAAAAAAGGTGGAAGAATTAAAGAGAGGAGGAGCTGAACCATTCCCGAGAGCTGAGCGAGAGAGAGAGCACGACAGGCAGAGCTGCCCACCTGGGGTTTCACCTGGAATGTCCTTTGCCTCGGGAAGGGTTTGGATCTGGTTTATCCGAGGGACAGAAGTAGCTCGGTGCGTCCCGGGGGTTCCTCCGGGTCAGAGCAGAGCAAAGCCCGGGAGGGGAGAGCAGCTGAGGTTGAGTCCCTTAACTCGTGGGATGCTCCAGTCACTCTCCTGAAGGATGGGATGGGTGTGGGTGAGGCAGAGGCAGCCCCTGGAGATCCACAGGGGTAAAGAGATCCATCTGCAGCCCCTAGAGAGCAGAGATCCACCTGCAGCCCCTGGAGGAGCCCCCTGGATCAGGGGGATGTCCAAAGGAGGCTGTGACTCCGTGGGAAGCCCATCCTGGAGCTGGGGCATGGCAGGACCTGTCGATCCATGGAGAGAATAGCCCAGGCTGGAGCAGGAAGGACTTGTGACCCCATGGAAGGGACTCACACTGGAGCTGTTCATGAAGGACACTGGGTGCACAGGGACACTGTGGGGACAGGAACACCAAGGGGAGAGGGACACCAGGGGCACAGGGACACTGTGGGCACAGGGACACCGGGCGAAGGGACATTGGGCAATGAGGGATACTGTGGGCACAGGGACACTGACAGGGACACCAAGGAGCATGGGGACACCACAGGGAAAGTGGGCACAGGGACACTGTGGTCACAGTGACAATGAGGGGACAGGAACACTGGGGACACAGGGACACCACAGAGACACTGTGGGCACAGGGACACTGACAGTGTCACCAAGGGGCACAGGGACACCTCAGGAACATCAGGCACAGAGACACTGGTGGCACAGTGACACTGGTGGTGACACTGCAGTGACACCGAGGGCAGTGACATGGGTGGCACAGTGACATTGGTGGTGATGCCGCGGTGACACTGAGGGCAGGTGACACTGAGGGCACAGGGACACTGGTGGTGACACCGAGGGCAGGTGACACTGAGGGCACAG